ATTTTTCACCTATGTCTAAATTTGGTGAACGTTTATGCTACTATAAAATTCACTATAGATATAAAGTGATTAAAATTTGTTTGGTAAATACGTTTATAGAACAATCTGTGTATTATTAAACCGACAGAATCACGATAAAACTATTAAAGTAAAAACCAAAACTCGATATAAAAATAGATACGCCTTACCTCAAGACCATAATTTTAATAATTTTTTAGGGGTAAAAAGGCGACAGAAAACAGGTCTATCATAAAACAAAAACTGAAATACTTTTTCGTTTCATAATTTCGCGCAAAGCCACTCAAGGGCTATCTGCGTATAGGTGTAGTTATTGTTAAGCAAATAGCTGCACAATGGGCTGTCTGTGTTCCGCTTACCTCGGGTATGAAAACCCGGTTTTTCGCGTCGTAAGCCTGAAGACTTACCTGTGAGCCACTGAGGGCAACTGCGTATAACCTACCCTCATTTTCACAGACTAGAGGGAAGACAGCTATCCATCAGCACCCACCGCCAACCCTTGTCTGATCAAATATTAACATTTTACAGTCACTCTTATAACGCACCTACAACCCTAAAGTACGGTGAGCATTTTTTCAGCAACGGGTGACGAACCATGAATCTACGGATAAGTAATGCGAGCACGCTAACTACTTATCCACTATGGACCGATTGAAATGATAATATGTTATTATTCTGAAACCCAAAGTATTTACTGCTAACTGATGCTTAAAATATTTTTTTTTAAATAAATATTTGTTTAAAATATCATATTAATAAATTCAAAAAAAGTAGGAAACTGACACTACTGAGTATTTCTAGATATTGTTGTCAAGTGGTGTGAACGGATCTTGTACATTGTTGATACCACGGGATAAACCGACTAGCCTTATTTTACTTGTTGGTATTTAGAAAACCCGAAACTTCCTGCCAGAAAGTAACAATTCAAATGGCTACACTTGTTGTCAGTGTGTGTAGCAAGCTGACATTTTTTATTCTTATTTTCGTTTTGAGTTTACTTACCGATAAAGTACATCTTATTACAATTTACAGCTTTTACAGTAAGTAAGAATACTTTTTAGAACGGGTACGACGTTTCGATCACTGGTGCGATCATTAAGTACACAAGCGTTGACAGTAAAGAACGTTTTAGTGTTAAAATCAACATTCAAAATCCAACAATGTATTTAAATTCTAGAATCGACTTATTCATATAAATATCAATCCGAGTGAATTTTACAGATCGCACTAGTGATCGAAACGTCGTACCCTTTCTAAAAACTAATCTTACTTACTGTAAAAGCTGTTATTTTTTTTTATTCTTATTAAGAAAATATGGTTAACTGTTTACAGAATTAGGAAAGAAAACTTACATTATACGTTGCAAAACTTTTAACATGTTTTTTACTCATCTTATTTTTTTACAATATTTCGTCTGTTTAATTATTTCAACAGTTTGAGTTTCCCTAATTAAAACTATATACCTTATTTACATAATGCGGATAAAGAGCGTTTTTTAAGTCACAGCCAAAGCATGGCCATTCTACCCATTAATTCTGGTGAGTTTTTTTTGTTTTTGTTTTTTTAGTGGTGGCAAGCGAAAGCGGGTGGGGTAGAACCGGTAGGTGGGGTTCGGAGGTAGTTTGCCCCGACGAAAAAGTTTGAAAACCACTGGACTAGTGAGATACGGAAAACTTGCCTTGTAGACCAATGTGACCATGTCTAAAGCAACGTGCGAAGTCGTGTGGTGTGTTATGACTGTGGATATAATAACCAACGTCAGAAGTCACTGTAATGTGTACTGGTCAACACGTCAAGTTTCACAACTCTAATAACAAAACTGCAAAATATCTTTTCTGACAAACCAAAATTATCATATTTAACTGATTCTAGTTCCTTGAATAAATGTTCTGGGATACACGGGGGCGTAAACGTTTCATATTCGCGAAACGTCAAAAACTCATTTGTATAAATAGTTACCGACATCTAACGTTTACATTGCTAAATTCCGGGGTTTGATTCCCCGCGGTGGACACAACAGATATTCCAATGTGGCTTTGCTCTAAAACAAACAAACAGACAACTAACGTAGTGTCAAATTGAAACATTTAATCTAAACCTCGTGTAATAAACCAAGTTTTACTTAACCTTAACAAACAATACTCGTAGCTAACAATAAAAATTTCTCTCACTTAACTGTAATCCAATTCACTGTTCTTCAAAGTATAACTCAGCAGTGAATCAAGTTTGTAACAGTGTAAACAAACCTTGTTATTGCAGGTATATCGATGTCATAACAGATGAGATTAAACATATTTTTCCCATCATGAATAAATTAATAATTGAATTTAGATTATCAACAAAAGTGCTCAAGATGACTGAGTGTTTAAATATTAGTCTAAACTTTATATACTGCATAACCTACGTTTTATTTGGATCGTCGGCATTTGAAACTTATAATAAAAATTCTTTCCAGATGCTCACTTACTGCGCTGAAGTAATCCTATAATGTTTAGTCATCGACTTTAATCTTTAAAACGTTTATACCCTTTATTTAAAAGAATAGATAAATAGGAAAAGTAAAGACAATTTTTGGCTCGGTACTTTCATAGATATTTGAATTGGCAAAGAGAAGAGTTCTAATTGTTTAAGAAAAATTAGGATGAAATTGATTTAAATTCTTAGTAACAAATTAACTCGAGACTATTGAACATTGTAATTATGCATACTGTCTTAATAGTAAAAGATTATTTAATACGCAAGCTTGTTTCATCAGATGGTGAAAAAAATGTCAACATTTTATTTTATTCTTTTAAACAGAGATTTCACATTCGTTTCGAACGTGTGTTAGCTAGGACTCGCGATTTTTTGTCTATTCAGGGCAGGTGATTTATATTCATTAATTATTTAACGTAAATACTGAGTAACGGAACAAGATTTATAACCATTTGAGCACAAAAAAATAGGTGTATTTATAAACATTAGTTTTGAGAATTTTGTTTATCTTTGTAAGAAAATATGACAAAGTTTAAAAGGAGTTCTCAAAACAATTCTGAGAGTTATCTAAGGAAAGGCTCTTCTCAGAAGTAGGGCAACTGGTGTATTAAAGCAGAGGATCCTTCCCCTGGAGTAAAGTAGAATTACGTTTGTTGGAACAAAATCCTGATCAAACCAAATATGATTTTCCTTTTGCATTTATCAGTAAGAATATATATAAAACATTTGACAAGATTTTAAACAGATTAAATCCTGTGTTTTTCCATCGTAAGAAAACTCGTAATAAGCTAAATTCTGTCTTACTTTGTGGAAGGAAAGATCCTCTGAGAAGTGCCTTTCCACAGATTACTTTCAAAATTGTTTTCAGAAGTCCTTTTAGATTTGTAATCTTTTTTTCTTATACAGATAAAACTTCCAAATTAGTAAAGCCACTAGTTGTCTACAAATACTCCCGTTCTTTGTGCTCAAAATATTGTACATCTCTATATAGATAAAAACTCCCAAGTCCTAGTTAAGAATATTTTTTTTATTTGTTCGTAATTAAGCACAAAGCTACACAATGGGCTATCTGTGCTCTGCCCACCACGGGTATCGAAACCCGGATTCTAGCGTTGTTAGTCTGCTGACATACCGCTGTGCCACTGGGGGGCTTAAGAATAAATATGATATTCTTATTTAAGGAGAATATTTTGACATTCTTCTTTTCAGCTTCCACTGAAATAAGTTTGAATTTATACAAATCTAAAACATCTTGTCATCAGGTCAATATGCCCAGTTTTGATATGCAAGAGTCTTTAATTAACTTGTTACTGAGAACCTATTTTTACACGTTTTAAATTTAAAAAAACATAAAATACACCAATCATAACACACAAATGTGGGTGCGAATTTAAAAGATGTTCGTTTTTTATAGCTACATAACATAATTTCTTCTTGGACTTTGAAATATATTCATACACATGAGTAGATGTTTATTGATATTCGTTAATTAACTGCGAAAAATCACACCATTTCTGTTTTTGTCTTGTAAGAATAAACATTTACATTTCCAGCTCAATATATATATATATATATCTTTCCATACAAATGCGTATAACAGTGTACACAATCCGTTTCTGTGTATATAATAACACCGAGGTTTTATTACAGCTAGTTTGCCCACCAGGTGACTGTAACAGGTTGAATTTCACAATTACTTGGCGCCATATTTTCCCAGATGTTTTTACGAAATGCAGTTGTGATACTTTTGAGCTTGTGTTGCACAAAGGTTTCGTAATTATAGAAATATGTATATACAGGACATGACATGAAGGTAATTTAGGAGGGTTAACTTAAAGCAAATGTAGTGATTGTAATTATGTGTAGTGTTTTTCAAGTGTGCCATGATTGAAAACAAACACACAGGCCTGATTAACTTTACGTTTTATCTACAGCCAGATGCAAATCCTCGACCGCAAAATACAACCATTAGTACTTTTTTAACATGGTAAAAACTAACAGAAATTGCACAAACTTGGCACATTTTGTATAACTATTTCAGTTTGAATTTGTTTGTTTGTTCTGGCTAGTTTCTCGGATTTTCATAGTGTTCCGGAGATATTTTTTTTATATAAACATTCTCAGTTTGGGGAATTTTTATTTCTAAATTTCTGTACAGTTATACTTAAGATAGTTTTACAAAATGTATTTTTGTGTTTTTCACTTTTTAAAAAAAAACATCATTTTAAGTAATATTACATTAATACACCTTAATCTTTAAATATTCGTTCCTTAAATACGCGTCTTTGTAATTAAATTATTCTTTTTTTATGGCGAAAAATAACGAGATAAATTATATTCTGATAGTTTTTTTCTTTCTTTCATTAGAAATGTTTAGAAAAATGAGAAGAAAAAAATAAAACTGTGAAAGTTTTGGCTTATAAATATCGCCACAAGATGGCGATAGGCATGCGGCACCGTCCGCTGATGCTGAGCCTCGAACTAGGTAAAATTTTGAATATACAGACCTGTTTTTTCCTTTATTTCACATAGAACACTGAAGAGGGCTGGCTTCATTCGATGGCAGTTCAGCGTATGTTTCCTGTAATAAAGGACATAATCGTGAATTTACTACCCCTAAGTTAAAGCTTTAAAAAATTAGCAACAATAAACGAAACATCACGCAGAGCAAGGCTAGAGTAGTTATTCGCAGCGGAAAACACCGCGAACGTACCTCGCTTGAGCTTCGTCGAGACTCTGGTCCGTGATGTTCATGATCTGTTGGAGTATTTCGGATATATCATGCTTACGAGGTTCCTGGTCCGATGTAAGCTGTTGATTTGTAGGATCCATACCATAAGTGTGTTGGGGCACTACATGACCTCCCATACTGACCGTGGGATGCATCATTGTTCTCTGATCGTCCATGCTTCAACACCACCCTCACCGTACAGACACAACGGCGTGGCTGTCGGTCTAGCGAAGGTCATACACTGTCTCCAACATAAACGTTTCACCACAGCACAGGCGCACGACTATCCATAAAACTACGAGTTTTACACACGTTATTAGAAACCAACTACGATTGACTGTTTTGATAGGAATACTTTTTGACGTCCAGCGAGAGACTTCAGGGTGGGTTGAACGATAATGCCAGTCAAGACACTTCACCATAAAAGATGAGCGTCTGTTGTGACGAAATCAACGTCAGCTCTCAATTTTAACCAATCAGAGTCGAACTTGAGAGTCACATTTCAGCCGCAGATGGATGTCAATCACTGTACTTAGTATTAGAAACTCTCTACACTAGCTCCGCCCTATGGTGTGATTGATGACAAAAGAACTTTATGATGTTTCGTTTTGCACATGCGTAATATTTGAAATTAAATGAATACTAGACTTAATTAATTTTGATAAAATAATTAGAATCAGATGGTACGAATTTTATTAAGTACATTTTGAATGAGAATGAGGTAAAAAGGAAAATAACATTTAGTTTATACGAGGCCCCTGTACACAACTTTTATACCTTGGAATATATATTTCTGTTTTTCTTTCTTGCATGCAATCCATGCGCCAAAATTGCGAGTCGTATGAGGCACAAAAATTAGTAAATATGATTTTTTTTGGCCATAATGAGACAATATCGATTTCTTTCATCATATAATGCAATTGTAATGTCTGTATGCACATCAAAAAAGCACATTCTGTCCTTCGGACATCAATGTGGGAGTGGTCAGGAATGTAACATTAATACTTTTTCAGATTAGTTTAATTCAATAGATTAGCATGAGCTTATTCCACATTTTTTACCTAAAACCTGGGGGTTAAATTTAAAATTAAAGACATAGAATTTGTTATAATATCTTAACAACTAATTATATATTAATATAAAATTAAAATGTATAATATTCAATAATTTTTATCTATGGCATAGGATTTGATAACTTGTAAAATATTTTTTATATTTTGTTTCGTAATAAACATTGTTCGGTTAAATCATTAATAACTGCCGAAAACATCGAAATAATATTGATTTTTATTAATTTATTATTTTACTTATCAAATAAAAATAAGAATGACAAAAAGTTAGTATGGTTTGAAGAATGCCATCTATCGATAGAAAGTGTATACTTTGTTATCCTAGACATATAAAATATAAATCGCATATTTGCATTAATATTGATTGAATGTACTTATTAGGTAATTTTAAACATGTAATATATTTTTTTAGTTTATAATTTATGTGTGTCTTTAATACTTTTTATCGTTTTCGTTACTTTATCACAGACATAAGACAATGGTTTTGGAACCGTAAGATGTTAGAACTAGTAACTTAGAAGTGAGACTATTTTACTAAACTTAGGAAGTTTGATCTTTTTCGCTGTCAGGCGTCACTCATATTCATAGTGAAGGTTTAGGTGTTGTGTAAAACGTTGTCATTTTATAGGATAAAATAAGGTAAATTGTGTAAGAAATTCAGAACGTTAGGCCTTTATATGTGATACATATATTCTGAATAGTCACAGTAAGAGTTGTGAATATCCAGAATGAGCCCACCAGCCACGTCCATACTTTGTTTACTTTCGATAAAGTTTTTGGCTTTAGATATTCGATCACATGTGTCACCATCACTTTGTTTATTTACTAAATTAGTTTGAGAAATCTATCCTAAGGCTTCAATTTAAAATACTGAATGGCGATGGAACCCGTGGCACACAGCAGTGAGTTAACTTTTAATTTAAGACTAGTATTCTGTTAGTGTTAGCTTAGCTACAAGTTACAGTATTTTGTTGCTTAATGCTAATAAAATTACAGTACTCCAAAATTCAGACTATTAATCTACTTTTATCTTTGTTTTTGCTTTCTTTCTCTAGTTAGATCCTGAAGCTTAATGCTGATATATTGGCCAAGGATTTTCACTTCTATGTAATTTATGTACCAAAAGTAATCGGACAAAGTTTCATTTTTATTTTGAACAGAAAGTGTTTTTCTTTTTTTTAGTGAATGTGTACAGATATGTTTTAAGAAAGACATTCAAGTATTTGTGTATGCTTTTAATACTAACAGTGTATAGGTAAATCGATAATGAAACCATATACTAAAAGTTTATTTTTTATTAGTACATTAATGATGGACTGAAAGTGGAGAGGGATTGTTAGTTTTTTAATACCAAAGGAATAGAAAAAAACTTGTTCATTGTATCAGCATTAAGCTTTACATTGTATGTCAAGTAATTGGAAACATTTAATAAGATATAAAGCCTAAAGTTTTGGTTATACTCTTTAGCCGACTCTAGTTAATACAATTGTACATGCAAAATAACCAAATTTGTGAGTCAAGTTTGTACATATATGGTTAAATGTCAGATGTTTCTTTTTTTCAGATGCCAAGCTGTCCAAACAAAAATTTGAGCCTAAGACTTTGGCTTTACATTAATTGCCCGAGTCTGATGCTCTACTAACTTAGTACATAAATTTAGAACTAACCTAAGTTAGGCACATTTCACAAAATATTGGAATTATAGCCACAAGTAATGCTAACATTAATGGTACATGACTGATTTAATCAATGCATTTTAATTATTATTATTAGCTATATTCATTGCAGAATTAATTTTTAGATCTGATCTGCATAAGTAGATTACTTTGACCAGAAGTTAATGATAATTAGCTGCCAGGACTCATGTGAAATGCTCTATTTTCCATTCCAGCATCCTCCCTCCTCTTAAATCATAAAACATTCCCTATAACTAATATATCAAACTTATTGAGATTAATACCTTGGTGGTAAGCAGAAGGACTGAATGATTAAGAACAGATAAAGCACCAGGACCAGACAAGGTTTTCCCCAGAGTTTTAAGAAGGTCAAAAATCAGATATGTATGTCCCTCTCATTTTTGGTAGGTTGTTAGACATTGGACAGATTCCAGGCAATTGGAGATCTGCTAATTCTACTTATATTTTTAAAGGAAATGTATGGAGTTTCTCTGGAAGTTCTAGGTTAGGTAGTCTGACTTCTTTAGTGGAAAAACAATTCTAGTCTGATAAAAGAGTTTTCACAAAATCATCTAGTGAGATCTATCACACCTGAACATCAACTAAAGTGAGATTTTGCCTTATTAACCTGTCATTTATTTTTGAAGGATGTTACCCATTTTCCAGAAAATGGAAAGGGTGTAGATTTAATGTACCTCAATTTTCAAAAAGCCTTTGATAAAGTGACACCCAAAATATTAGCTAAGAAAACCACATTGGTAGGAGTTGTATAAAGACTGGTTGGTTAGATTGTAAGATGATTGAATGTGAGAAATATTTTTATAATGGAGTGCTGTGAAAAGTATACTTTTGTTACTAGTTGAGAGCTTTACTTTTTACTTATATACAGTAATGGTATTGTTAGGGACATAACTAGTAGTTTGTTAATGACATTAAGCTAATCGATATTTTGACTTGGACAAATTGGTAAATTGGCAGTGGTGTAACTACAAAAAATGCCCCCCACCTCTGCATCAAAAGATGGGAACCCAAACAGTAGTGTGTCAGAAGAAAAGGATCTTGGCATAGTGGTTGATAAGTCAATATAAAGCCAATGAAGTAGGCCCTGTTGCTAGTAGTAGTAAAGGTAGTAGAATTTTTTGGGTGTATTTATAGACACACTAATTACAAGTAAAAACAAAAAGTAATTATACAAATCACTAGTTAGGCTTCACTTTGGGATTAAAATTAATAAATAATTTGATGTTAATAAAAAACATAAACCTAATTCTGATATATTAAGACTTAAGATTGATAAATATTGCAGTTCAACAGCTTAATCTAGTCCACTCTGAAACTGTTGTTGTTGAAGAAATTGATAATCTGATAGCATCTTGACCACTACTTTGTCATATCTGAACTAGCCTAATGAATCCTGACCTCGAGTAAAAGGCCTCATCAGCACTGGATACAGCAGATATAGTGTGTTTTACTTTCACTTATAAGTTCTTGTAATTGGAATGCTGTATATAGTTTTAGACACCTTATCTATGACAGGATATGAACTTATTGGAAAGGGTTCAGAGGAGGGCTACTTAGAGGAACAGATTAAGATCCCTTAACTCATTTTTTTCTTTAAAATAGGATGAGAAATGATATTATTGAAGCCAACAAGATTATCTGGATAATCAGTAAGATAACGCCTCTGAATCCTTTGTGTTGTTATATTCTGGAGACGAGGGCACAAGTTTTAAGATTTGTAAAAGACAGATTGAGTTCTACATAAGATAATTTTATTTTTCTAACAGGGTGATTGACTAATGGATTGAATTGACACCAGCTATAGTGGGGGCTAGCACTTAACAGGAGTTGAAGAAGAGGCTCGGTGATTTCCTGAAAGAAAAGAGTGGGTTAAAGTTTTTAACTTTTATTTTGGGTGAATGTGCAAGAACAACCTTGAAGAACCAAATAGTCTGTTGTTGCTCATATGTTATGTTTGATTTCTTATTAAGCAATCAAGGTATATAATATATATTAAGTACTATAAAACAGTTCATTAACTGGTATTTTGTGTTGCAGTTTCTATGTTGTTGTTTTTTCAGCTTCAATTGCACTATCTTGCTGAATCATCTACTCGGGAGACTTATATTGTGTCCTTAACTCAATTTCACTATTAACTACCCATAATTGAACAACAACCTGTTCCTAATCAGGTATTAAACTCTGTATCTTTGGCTCATACTAGCAAGCCTGCTATGAGCATAATTAGAAATACAGTATGCATATCATGAATGCTCATAAAATAAGGACTAAGTAGTGTATTAGGTGAATTAGTTAAAACAAGATGTATAAATAATGTGACAGACCTAAGCACCTTTGGCTGAAAAGAGCTTAATAGGTTTTTGAAGAGAAATCTATATGTTTTATTTTAATATGTTGTAGTGAGTCTGTATACTAGGGTTTTTAAAACTAGTGTTCTACAAACTACACTACTTGAGCTGTTAGGCCCCCCCAAAAAACTCCTCACTCTAACTGTCACAGTGGCTATTTCATGGCGTTTTTCCAAGGTTACCAGTTGTAGCAACATAAAGCAGGTGAAAATAAATCTGCTCTTGCTGGAGTGTAAACTTGGGTTTCTTGGTTCTCTTTAGAACATTAATATATAGTTGTAATAACTGAGTTATCACAGCTTTTAGCCAACTTAACATGATTAAAAGTCACCCAATATTTTTTTGGAATTTTGCCGATCTGTGATGGCCAAAAGTCTGTGAACCGCTGTTCTAGATCAATACAAGATCACAGAAGCAAGCATATAAAACCAATAAAGTCATTGAATTGTAACAAACAGGATCAAATATTGAAAAAAAAAAAAACATAAATAAGTGCCAGTACTTTCAATACCCAAGACATGTTACAGACTGGTAGATGTTAATTCAAGAACCACTGGTCCACAGCCCACATTTGGGAAACACTGGTGTAGAGAATGTTTAAATTTTACTTATTAGTAATATTAAATGTCTTGCTAAAGTTTAGGTGCAAGTCTACTGAAGTGAATGAACAATCTGAGAACACATCCTCCTTCCTCTCCCTCCATCATTCTCTTGTGCTTGGTATTCACATATGTGATGGTCAGTGCCTCCAGAAACATGCATGAAACTGCAAAGGAGCTTAAGACATTTATCATGATGAATAATATATCCTTAACCTTGAATATCTCCTTTTTTTTAACAAACTGGACATATTTTAGAGTTTGGGGATGATAGATAAAATGCTTCAATCTTAAGCGTTACTTATTTGAAGATTTGATAGAAAACATTTGAACTCTTAAATCATATGGTTTACTACCATATAACACTCGACCATTTGTTGTTTTTTTCACAAACAACCTTATAAATATTTAGAAATTTAAGTTGTTTAGTTTATATTTTTCAATTAAAAGGTGTAAGTAAAGAAAGCAATGTAACCATCAGTCATTTTGCCCATCTAGGTCACCTTTGATCCTCTGGACAAAGTAAACTTAATGCTGACTAAATGTGGTTTTTTTTTTCGTCAAACGTACTTATTTAACATGAATCGGAAAACTCGAGCCTTCTCTAAAGTTACGATCAAATAAAGTAAATAAAACTGCATTTGAAAAGTTCCAAATTTTGGTTTCCAAAAGTTATTATTCTAAATATCCGTGCCACCATAATCAACCTTATCATTCCAGGAAAAAAAAACATCAACAGGTGGACTGTACAAACCTTTTCAGTTTGGATAAGACTGTTTACCCCCCATGAAGAATACAATGTTTAGTTTATTCAAAGGATATCAATATTATATAAAAGATGTAAAGAAAGGTCACCTAACTGTTACAAAAAACAAACAAAATATGCTGTAATAACATACTTAAGTAACAGTAATGACTTTCCTGGAGTACAGATTGAACTTTGATGTTTCTGAAACATTCTTTCTTTACATTTTTATATAATATTGATATCCTTTGAATAAACTAAACATTGTATTCTTCATGGGGGGTAAACAGTCTTATCCAAACTGATGGTCATTGTCTTACAAGCAATCGATTGGTGAAGATGATCTTAGTATCAAGTTATCTTTATTAATCGTGCACGAGTAATGGTACAGGTTTCAGATGTTTCTCAGCAATCACATCCATATCCTTCTCTCTCTCTCTCTCTGGTATGTAAATTTTTTCTACATATCAGGTGACTCCCTCCTAAATTTCTATTTTCTAACTATTTAATATTGACCATTTACTAAGTGTTTTAAGACACCCTTCCATATAAAGGTTACATTATCGTCATTTATCAGTTTTCTCTGATATATTAAGTCTAGTCTTTGTTCTCCTGAAAAAGAATAGTCAAGTATTTGAAAGCGCTGGAGTTTTAGGTCTTATTTTAAGTTTATTACACTTTATATGTGATCCTTTGTGCTAACTCTTTTAGCAAGATTAAGTCTAGTCTGTAACTAAAACATTTTTTGTTGTTGTTTAAAGTGGCATGACTTAGCTATTAAACATGATTTTACAGTAACATTTAAAAAAATTGGATTATATTCAATATATCTAGCCTTCTTGTATGCTACCTTCTTCTTCTTTTTGTGTATGTGTGTGACCTGGATTTGAGAAGTACCAGTGAGTGTTATGAAGATACTTAGATTGTTCAAAACAATTGTAGTGGATTTAAATGACATTACATCACTCGGTATGGATGTTACGAGAACAAATTGCAAAATTAAATTTGTGATGGATTTCATCATACAGTATTGTTGCTGTAAAGGGTTTTTTAAGCTGGATTCTGTTGTGATTTCCAGACTCTAAAAAAATTGGACAATTGTTTTAGTAAAAAGTGAAAAATCTTAAAGGAGCAAAAAAAAGAATATTTCAACATTATAATATGTTAAAAGTTTACTTCTTTCGTGTATTTAAATGGATAATGTATTCCATCCAATATGCCCCTATGGTTTTAAACATTCATATTCAAAGTTTAGCCTAGTTCTTTTAAATTAAATTTATAATTTTAGCACACACACAAAAAAAACTGATGGAATTTCACCTTAACTACAGGTACACATCACTAAATTGCCACCATGTTTCTTGCGAGTGAGATTGAACCTTGGACTTACACAACAACTGAACTAAACGGTTAACGAAATAGCTTCATTAGTAAGACACTTTTTAACAGCTTAAACAATCTTGTTTTCCCTTCTTTCAAAGGAGGCCCATCCTTAGGTCTTACCTCAGGGTCTTAAGACAGTTATTAGTTAGGCATTTGTTATTTTCTGTATTAGTACAATTTTTGCATTGTCTGTGAAAAAAAATGGATTCAGAAACCTCTTGTATGCCTGTTTGATGCTAGTAATTTCTTTATTGAGGAATCCTTGCTTTACATAACGTTACGTGCATAGGTATAATTATAATAGTAATTTATTTATTTTTCCGTTTACTAAAGTAACCTTTTTTTAATGCACTTTTTGTATTTCTCAACAATTGTAACAATATTAAATGACTTAAACCACTAACAGTTACTACCCACAGTGCCATTGTCTTCGTTACTTTGTCATAACTAATTTCTACTACCTAATACTTGCCATCTCCAGTTCTGCGAGAGCATGCAGATGCCAGATTTCACTCCTCATTTTTAATCCACACTGTCCACTCTTCATTCTCAATCCACACTGTTGCCAATGTCCACTCTTCATTCTCAATCCATACTGTTGCCACTAACCACTCTTCATTCTCAATCCACACTGTTGCCACTAACCACTCCTCATTT